TTTAGGGAAAATAATGTGTCGATGACGTGACAATAATTATTTATTTGACAACTTTTGCTTATGCCGCAGCCGCGATAATATATTTCATGAACATTTCACACCAAACTAATAACGCCACCGATTTTCTGAGTATGTAATAGTAGTTATGATATTTTCTTCGGCTACTCAAATTTAGTTATATGGCGTTTCTGCTATAGATACTTAGTTTGATTATCATCTATGAAATTAAAAATCTTCGTTTTAATAGTAAATATGAACTAATTTTTAAGGTTCAGTTAGTCCCAAGATCCATCTTTACATTAATACACTTTTCTGTGATGTTCTTTACTCGTGTCTATTTGTCATACATCTAACTGCATTTTTTCCTTTTTGTACTTAAATTCCAGGGACCAGCTCTCACACACAAAAACACAGACAAACACACACACATAAAACATTACAACAGAACATTATTTGATCAATTAATTAACTACGTGCATCCATTATAAGCAAAAAATTTAAACTAATTTCTGAAATGATCGTTGAACTTATAATTATTTTTCCTATCAATAGTCATTGCTTTTTTTTGGCTATAAAGTCATTTAACTTTATTTTAGATAGACTCTGAAAAAATATCTAAAATTTCGACAGAGAGCCTCTCTTGTTTGCTGACTTAACCTGCAAAATGTTCTGTAAATATTTATTTATCAAATATTTGTCCTCTTTCACATAATACTCAACTAACAATATTAGTAAACAATAATGAAATGTACTTAACATTATTTAATACTCCTAGTAAGTATATATATATTCCAATCCGTCTTTTAGTATTTTCAAAGGACTTGTTTGACTTACTGTGCAAACCATTAGAATTCTAAAATATCCACACTTGCACGGTTGCTAGCATCCTACTTGGGCTTGAGAATATAATCCATCAAAAAAATATTAAAAAGATACTGAATCACTTGTAAAATTACGTTGTAGCTCACTATTGTATTTTAAAAATAAGATTAAAAAAATGATTTTATTTATATTTTTACAATCTTTTGTTTTTTTCTATAACACCTCACCACCTAGAAAAATTAATAGTTTTTCAATTTACATTTACCGTGACTCAAATTTCCGACCCAATAGTTCATGAAATTCATATTGGATATCGCATGTCCAAACGCTCAACTAATAATCTGTCAATAAAAAAATCGACGATACTCATTTTAACCCCATATTAATTAGAAAACATCTTTTTCGAGGGACAATTTGTTGGAAGTGATGAGAATAATCTTTATTCGATTTCACATAGTATTACTCCATTCGTCTCATATTAGATATGCATCTTACTAGAAATATTTGTATATATTATTTGATCACTTACTAAATCAGGATAGAATTAACTAACTCTTCTCATTTTATCTCTATAATTAATATGATCTTTGAAAGCTTGAACAAATTTTGAAGATTCAAAATTTCCTTTTTTTCAAGAGGCTAATTAATATGAACGAAGGGTAAAATAGTAAAGCTGAAAATTTATTAATTATCATGTAAAATAAAAAGTGCACATCTAATATGAGACGGATGTAGTATATATAAAAAGGACCCATTTGATATTATCAATCCTATAAAATAATATTAGCATAATTTATTAAGATAATCACCTATATGATTACGTGATTAGAAAAGAAATTATGTTCAATAGACTCATTCAAGGGTGACGCTCCCAACATGATTTTCTTCATACTCAGAACTCTAATTCGAAATCTTTGATTAAGACCAAAGCAATTCCAATGGTCCATCACTACACACGATCCATATTTTTGTTACATAAATGAGTTACATCCAACCCAAGTACTACTGACTGGTCTACTTATTGTGTGGGACTACTTTTTCGATGTTTAGTCCCTATTATGAAGAAAAAAAAAGAGATTAATATTAAAAATGATATAAAAAGAGTTATTGAAGTTGTGTGGTTGGATTTTGCTACATGCTATAATAATAAAAACAAGATCTTAAGAACCTTCCAACAATAATACGTTGTTTTGGGTCACACTTTACTTTAATTTCCAAATAAGATTTATATATATTGGGATTTTCCCGTATAAACGCGTTTGCACTACTTTACTGTGGATAAATGTTTTGTTTTAATTGTTTTACCAGGTCAAGGAAATAAGTAGAGCCACAATAAAAAGAGCATTTATAAAAGAAAATGATAAATTAATTAAGTAATTTATCTCCTTTGAATTATAATCATTGTATTTTGCTAAATTGTACGATATTTTCTCAAATTTTATTGGAAAAGTACTGGAATCCTTAAAGTTCTCATATATACTTTCTCTACCCACAAGTTTAGTAAACATTATCATTGTGAGAGAGAAAAAGTAGTAACAAATTTAGGTAGGAAAAAAAGAAGAAGCAATAATTGAAACATGAATACGCAAAAACTGACTGGACATCACGATTATTTGAAAAAACGAAAAGAAAAAGGGGGATATCGTACGAACATTAAGATGGGTATCATTGGTCAGTATTATCACATTAATAAAACTTATGGTCGCATTTTTTCTCAACGTTTTCCTAATGTCAACCACAATACATCATTACTCCACAGTATTAATTAATTATATTGGCCCTGCTAATTGTTGTAGACTAGCTAGCTTAAAGGGCCAAAATATTTATATTCTACAAGTTAGTTAAATTTAAAGAAAATAAGCGTAAATTTTGTGTACAAGGAAAGAAATATAATACTCACTTCCTTTATTTTTACTCGTTTACTATTTCAAAAATAATTTTTTACTTTTAACATATCAACAAAAGATAATTATTTTATTTCATGTGCATTAATTATTTATTTCAAAATTATTTTTCAAGTTTAATATGAAACATTAATCAATATGTGTATTATATTAAAATAATCATTTCGATTATTATTTCTTAAGAAGCATGGAATATTCGAAGTGAACCAGTAAAGTGAACGGAAGTATATCTAATATTGAATCATAATCTTCAATAATATAACGATGGTCCCTACTATTTGTTTGAAACCATAAGGGAACACGTTGAGCAGCAAGGATAAAAAATTGGCAATATATTATTGTTGAGTTCATACTTAACAGATCCAGAAAGAAAGATTATTATTAAAATAAAATAAAATGGCAGCTTTACACCGTGTACCACATGAATTGCCTCTTGTGACAGAGGCTCGCAACAATAAAATTTCTGATAGTTAATTAACTGAGTTATTATGATTTTCACAATATTTATTTTACATGTATTTTACATGTGATATGAATTTTTTTAGCATTAGTATAGAGTGTAATTGAGGTAAATACTTTAATTTCTTCACAACACACAGATCAATCAAGAAAAAAGAAATAGAAAAGTGAAAAAATAATATCGTTTGATAAAAGAATATAAAAAAAGAATTATGATCTCTTAATCTATTGAACTTTCATTGATGAGATGTAAAAGAGCAATGAGTAAGTGTTAACCTATGGTATATTGTAAAAAAAAAAATTGTTTTAGAAGTTATGTTTGCAGTTTCATGTAACAAGTAATTTTCGTGATATTTGTTTGATTTAAGATTTTACAAATGAAATGGACTAAATAATAGTAGTTGGGTTAATTGAAAAATTATGGGCCACTAATTCTAAGTCGAATCTCAATATAATGGGCTCTTTCCGGCCCAAAATATGTTTCCACTCCTTCGACCCGTTAACCCACTTGTTTACTCTCTGATTGAAACTATTTTTCTTTAATAAAAGGAATGATGGATAATCTTAATCTATATATTCCTAGAGTAAGAATTCGACGATCAAGTTAGAGACTATTAGACGTCTCGCAGAATGATTCGTGAGCTAACAAATACAAATCTTGATAGTAAAATTAGTCCAAAATTTAATCTATTCTTTAATTTCTCTTATTGATCGTTCACAGTTTAACACTTTTTTTAAAAAAAAAAACTTTTAAGTAAACAAAATCTTATTTTCCTTCACTAACAACAATAAGATAATTGACAAAATTGTTGCTTTTAACATTTTCTTGAAGTTGATGAAAAGATAAACAACTAACCACCCAATGTTGGTGCTTCTTTTGAAATTTTCAATTTTTTAATAATCGTTTCCAATAAGTTTGGTGCAGGATTTTTCTTCTGGAATGTACTCCTTTTGTTCTAAAACAAGTGTTTTTTTTTTTTTTTTTTAAATAAGACTTATTTTAGTGTTTCAAAAAAAGAATTGATTTTTTTTTAAAAAAAATTGCCCTTCTTATTTCCTAGGAATAAATAATTTTTTAAAAAATATGCAAAAATTAATAACAACACTTATTTTGGTAAAAATGAGGAAATAGTTTCCTTTCTACAAAAAAGAGCCCATAGAGGAAAGCAATTTTAGATCATTAGTATACTTAAGGAAAGGTCTTAGATAGTAATTTTATCACTAAACAATCACTCAATTTTCTTTGTTTATCAAAACCCCTTTTTAGTTATTACTCTCTCCGCTTCATTTTAATTACTGTATTTACTAAAAATAACTGGTGAACGATAGTTGTCATTTTAGAAAATTAAGATATAATTAATTATTTATTTTTACTCAATAATATGAAGAGATATGACTATAATGGGGAAAAAAAATAGTACAAAATTAAGATCAAAGAGTAAAAATGAATAATTTAGTCAAATTACTCTTTTAATTATATTTTCTTAAAGAACGTGAAAAAAACCAACCTATAAATAAAATAGATTGGAGGAAGTATATTTACCAAGAAAAATCTAATATTACCCTTAATCATCTTCGCAGTATATTGTAATGCATAGTTGGATACAATTGATATTTTTGCACGCTTAACTGATATTCTGGATACATATTGGACTAATAATATTGTCACCTAAAGCTAAGATAATATGATTACATATATATTGCACACATAAACATAACAAGTAAACCAAAAAGGCATAAGATATAATCTCAAATCTAAAAGTAGAAGTACATAGACAAGAAAATGATAAAATGATCAGTAGCTTGGTCCCTCAAACAAAATGGAAAAGAAAGGATGAGGAGGAAAAAGAGAATCTGCTTTCCTCAAAAAGGTTTTTTTTTTTTTTGGAGAAAAAGAAGGATAATAATTATGTAGGTGGTAGACTTTTCTTAATTGTTTGTCTTCTCTTGTGTGCAAACCCATCACTGTGTCTCATTATCCAAAACCTTTCTATTTCTTCTGCTGTTCTCCCTGGTATTCTACCTGCTATAAGCCCCCACCTTCACAAAAACAAAACACTCTATTTTAATATCCAAATAAACATTAATAGTATAACGATAGGTTAACTGCTATAACAGATAAATATAAAAATTTCTCATAAATGATGGGCGTGTGTGAATAAAGTCCCATATGGAAAGTAGAAACAAAAGTGAAGGGAGTTATAAAGCAGGGTTGGAGCTAGGTAGGACCAAGGAAAAACGTATATTGTTTAACTTGATTTAAATTATTTGTTATCTATATATAGTAGATGTTGAATCTCTTTTAGGTTCTTAGCAAGTGTACTTTTTCATATTTTAAAATCCTGTAGTAAGAATGTTGATTTTGCCACTATTTATAAGATGTTTAACGATGTGAAGCATTTTGAGGAAAAACTGTGTGGACTTAATTCGAAGTATGTCTTTGATATAGTTTAGTCAAGTTAAAGTTAATGACAATACTACATCTGTGCATGTTTATGACAATGTTTTCCTAGTCTTAATAATGAGACATGAAGATACTGGTAATTATTCAACTTTTACCTGTCTCCAACAAGTTTGTGCATCCTGTAAATAAGATCTTCTTCTTGCTTGCTCATTCTAATGAATTCCCACTCCATACTATTAACCTCTGTTTACCAAGCAAAAAAAGAAAAAGAAAAAAAGAGGTTAAAAAACGAAAAACGAAAGAAAAAACAAATATTAGGGGTGTTACCTTCTTCATGGCTGCAACATCGGTGCATGAGTTTGTGTTGGTGATGAAGATTTTGATCCATTTTTAGGTACAAAAAAAGTAGAGAAACAGAAAGATAAGAATAATGAGGATCAAGAAAAGAGGAATAGCAGAGAGTTGCTGTTGAGTAGGAGGGACAGATTCTGTTTTTTTATACTTGTCCTCAATGGTTCGACAGATTTGTCTGCATTTGTTGTTATCATCAAACATCAAACAACGGCTGGTCCTAACCAAACAAACTACTCTTTCCCTTTGACTTGCAGTTGTCATTCCTTCCCATTATTTTTACATACATTTTTAGATACGCTTCTTTCATTTATATGGCCATGCATACCCAATGGATAATTAAGTTCAAATCTTAATTTCTCCCAATAATATAAGCTCTTGTGTCATTTTCTCCACATTAGGCATTTTGAGCTGAAAGGAGCAAAGAACATTCGGGATCAACTACAAGAAAAGCAAATCTTAGTAGACTGATTAACCCGAGCTCTCCAATAAAAAAAAGAAGAGGGGGATCTTCATTGATCATTATTTGTCTTATGAATTTGATTGGTAGGTCCAATTCAGGTAGTTACAAAAAGAACATATGCCAGAAAGTAACCCCAGCTAGTCAAATTAGTCCTGAACGACTCATGATGGTTGTAAACTTGCAGGTACAAATATTTTCTAAATCACCCAACCACTTTCAAGAATAAGAAATTCAAGACCAGAACTGATCTCGTCACTCCTTCCAACACACTAATGGATATGTATCTGCAGCCTAAATCATAAAATACAGACTACTATCTGCATGACATCTATGTAGCTCGTCCACTATAATCACATGGAAATAGCATCGACCAATTAAGTCAAACTATGGCTGTAAGAATTGGGAACTTTTTGAAGATACTGTACCATAATTAGCCCATTCAATTACAACAAGAGGTAATGGTCAAATAAGAACAATCTACAAGTACTGATAATCGAACTTAATAAACTCCATCAGAGGCTGATTCTTTCAACTGTAGCTGTACCATTATCTACTTGGGTAAGATGGTAATGCTTCACCAAGGTTGTCCTTTTCCTCCAAGTCGTCGAGCCAGCTCAAAATCTTTTTTCACTGTGCATCAAGAATAATGAAACAATATAAATTACGCATCATATAACAAAGCATGCCAAGCAAACAAGTAGGCAGTACTAAAAGACCTAGAGATGCCCAAGATATTCCAGCCCACTAATAATAGAAGTATTGTTCAGAACAGCAGGTGCCCATTATCCATATAAGTAGTTGAGACCATAAGGCAACTGCTCTCCTCTGATTCCCAGTATTATCTTAAAAGATCATTGGGCTAACTTTTCACAGCACTAAACACCTAAAACCTCCCATATTGAAACAGGCTGTACCTGGCCCCTAGGTACTCCTCCTAGATGTGATTGAAGAATTCATATGAAAGAGGTTAACTTGGAAGAGGCAATAGAAATGATTGCCTCATTTCACTTTTGCATCTTTAGCAAATGTATATATGGAGTAAATAAAATTAGGACCCCGAATATATGTGCATCTATGGCATAATTTGTATGCCGTAACTTTGTGACTAAAAGCATTTGTAGAGCATTTTCCTCCTCTTCCCTGAGGAAGGACGAGCATAACACAATTGAGAAAGCTAATAGGTATATGAAATCTACAACAGAATAACATAATTTGTGAAAGACAAGTAATTTGATGGACCAGGCTGCCAGCCCATTCCCCGAAGCAACAAGGAAATGAGTAGAGGGATGTCGAGAAAGGTCAACTGTGGAGAAGGAACGATATCATATAAGAAAACCAAAAAAAGGAAGAATTGAAGAGGAAACTTACTAAGTGTAACACGCTTCGCATGAATAGCACATAGCATTGCATCTTCAAACAAATGAACTAAAAAATCTTCAGCAGCCTGCAAAATACCTATATCACTCTTGCTGATATTGATTAAGAATAGAGTTCAATATGACATAAATGTTTTAGAGAACAAGGCATTTCTACAAAAATAGGCTGAAAATAATAATGTTGACTGAATAGACTATGCACTCAAACTTTCTTACTTTATGCATACATCTACATTTTGCTATTTTAATGATATTAATGATGAAAACATCCTAAGAAAAGCATGATGTGCAAGGATCATAGGACTATTAATATACTATATGTGCAGGTAAAGACAAATTGCCTGACAGAAAATAAGCAGAGTTTGACATGATTGCAACACTGTCTCGACTCTTGAGGAATCTGTATGAAGAATGGAATAAAGTTCTTTCACTCCAAACTATGCGCCAGATGGCACAGAATGAAGATGAATAATAGTTCATGTATCAACACTAAATATAATTTTTTTGACACTAAATAGACATTTCAAGCTGCTGACTGTTCCCCTACGACTATCTGTCTGTTATTTGAGCACAGCTACTGACAGAACAAAGGATTTCAGAAACATTTCCTAGGTTCCTGAGAAGACACTATGTACATTATTTTACAAGATCATTGATGCTCTTCCAGATACAAACAAAATCTCATAGGGAAGCAGAAATGCATGCTTGCAGAGAGACATGCTAAAGCTAATGCGTAGCTCTGTCCTTTTTTCTCACTAGTTATCCACAGCGCCCTGCCGGCTTAACGGGATTCTATCTGTTTCTGATCAATGATCACAACAAGCCAATTCCTTTTACTCCACATGTTTACTGGACATGAACTTGTCACTCACAAAATAGAAAAAACTACATCTTTTCATGTACATAGCAAATACACTTATATATAAATGCAGTCAAAAAGGTTTCGAACACAAAGGGCTTTTGGTTTATAGCACAAAGAAATAATGGGAATATTAGAGGAGGCCATAGGGTATACCCACTAAGAAATCCCTTTTCTTTTCAATGCCTTATTCTTTGCTGGGGAACTTAAAAATATAAGGTATTCCATGCTAGAGACTATGTATCAGAATTGGCTTAGCTTCAGAGGAAAAGGTGAATAACTTGTTGCTGCAAGATCAGTCGTATGTTGATGCAAGTATACGTATCGTATTTATGACAACAAAACAAAAAGCAATAGGAATTAGTGGTACTTAGTTATAATATATGTCCTCTCGATTGGAACAATATCCAAAAGGAGTGGACACCCTGATTTAGGGGTAAGCCGAGTAGCAACTTTATTTGCGGACACTGGACTGTACCATTCAAGAGATAAGCTTATCTAAGCAAAAATCAAAGAAAAGTAGTTTTTACCTTGAACTTGCCTGATTAATACACCTAAATAGTATTTTTTGCAATTTGAAGATATAAAAGCAATTCAGTTGAGCAGGACTCAGATAAGGAAAATGCACAACCATAATCAAAGTAGAAAAACCTTCATGGAGCAAGAGTTTGTGATAGACATCTCTAATTATGATAAATCTTCCAGAAACTCAAACTCCCTTAGCTAACTAATTGCCTTGCCCATCTTGGATTGCCTGTTAGGAGATGATATCAATTGTCTTTCTTCTATGTTGGTCGGACTCTTCAAAAATGTCGACGGGTGCATGTTGGATTCTCCAAAACTAGTGCATTTTTGAAGAGTTTGACACGGGTGTGGGATCATTTTTGAAGAGTCCGAGCAACATAGCCTTTCTTATCTAATGTATGCTAGGTACTGAAAAGAGGAATATCACTTTAATAATATGTTGGATCTTTTCATACACATTTACTACCCTGACCGCACAATTGGAACATGCTTTAAATTATTATGGAGTTCATGCTGTAATTTTCTATTACTTGGAGAAACCTTTTATAGGAGATTATTAAGCACATTTTGAAATTGATAGTAGAATTACTCTAAGATACATAAAATGATTTTAATATGTCCATGGAGCAGAGATTGTTTCAAGCTAGATATGTTATTGACATATAAAACTACTAGATGATATGAGAGCAAATATATTCATATGAATCGATTTCCCTCTCCTCTCTAGGAACACATGATTCCTATAAATAACTTAAATTAATGCACATGATCCAAATAGCAGCTAACAGATCCACTTTTTATGGTGAGAAATTGGCGTACCTCTTGAATAGCAATTAACGCCTCAGCTTGCCAACGAGTTACCCCAGGTGCAAAAAAGTGACTAATTTCTCTAACCTGCCCCAGTCAGAAAAGAGGGATAAACAATTAGGTTTGGTGAAAACTTAATAAAGGCAAGGATAAATCCATAATCTATTTGGTCTAAACTAAACCATACTATCATCAAGGGTATAAATATAGCAGTTCTACAACACATTTACATTTAAAAGAATAGTCAGAATGAATATTTTGGTATACACTCTCAATCCACACTTTCTGCCAGAACCACAAACTGAGTCCCAGGGACTTCCTGAAATATAGAGCAGGAGGATAGAAACTTTTTTTGACTAGCAAATCTGCGTAGTACACCTTCTTAAAATCTGAAATTACCAAACCTCCTACAGAAGCAGATCCTCACTAATTGACAAGAGTTAACAAGTTTCCACTTTTGTAAGTCCGGCAGATCATAAATGGTCTTCCCACTCCAATCCCATATTGAAATCAATACGAAACGGAAACCTTTCTTTGAACAATAGTGCATAATCGCAAAAACTGGTCAAACTAACCTGCAAATTGAACTCAGCCAAGCCCAAACAAATAAAATACTATAGTATAAAAATAAACTCAAGAAAGAGAATGAATTTTTCTTTCTTCTATTTGTTAGCATCAGTGTGCTCTCCATTGAGAAACTAAATCAGTTAGAAAATAGGTGAATGTTCATCTTGACGTAGTCTAAAGGAAAATGAGAAACTGAGTTATGGAGTAATACATCAATTGAAGCTTGCCAAAGATGCCTCTTTTAAAGGGTTTTTATTCAAGAGAACGGGGTTATTCTCTCCATTCCATAGTATTTTTATTTTTTACTATCCTTTCAGCATCTATTTTTTTCTTTTCAATCTAGTCTCACTAATACTCATCAACTAGTGGAAAGCCCTAACATTAGCTTTACCCACTAGTGCAGCAGTGATTCACGTGCTCTCCACTCAACTAAGGCATAACACTGATAGCCCTCTCGCTTTTTTCGGTAATCTACATTAAATTAGACACCTGCAACTATTCAGATTCGACTTCTTCCATTCAGCCAGATTACATGGTAATGAAGCACTCAATCAAGCTATAATTGGTTTAGAGTTTCTCCTATTTCATCTAACCATATGGCTGCTAAGCTCAAATTATATCTAGCAGTCTAACTTTATCCCTGTAAGCAAGCACAACATCAACAGAACCATGATGAATGTAACCAAAAAAAAATTAAAATGCATTAGAATAGCGACTTTGATATGCTATAAGTCCATATGATGAAAATTACAAGTCTGATGAAAGGAGCAGCTGGAATAACAAGATTCCACGTCTTCTGGAAGTGTCTGATTTCTCGAAGCGCCACTGACCCTGGCCTGTAACGCCTCTTCTGCTTTGGCTTCTGCACTGAAGCTGAAACACAAATATTCTCCCATCATTTAGAAATATAGGATTGGGCTTGAACAAAACGAATGTATTTAGAAGGATTCATATAGTTAACCCAACTAGCTTCAAATTGACTAAAACAAAAGTACAGCAACATAACTACATGTCGAAAGCATGAATGTTCAGAAATGCACATTAATTTACTTCTATATACACTTACTTGCCGGCGCAGACCGTGGACTTTTTCTTGTAGGCGTCTGATTTATCCCAAACAAAAAGCAAAAAATTAACCTCACGAACTTTGAATTAGCACGAGAACACCAAAATCACAGTTATTATCATACCGATGGAGTCGCTGAAGGTCCAGCTGCAACTGCAAGTCCAGGTACAACATCACCAAATTAGGGTTCAAAAACAAACTCAACAAAAATCAAATCAAATCCAAAAAGCTAAAATGAAGTGTATACGCTTGTGTAAACATTCACACACAGAGAAACCATTGCTGAATGTACATAAAAGGCATTAATCACCGCTTCTTATCTTCAACTTGAGCCATATACAGTTGATTTTTTTTTCTTTACAAATATGTATTTAAAACTAAGTCAGATCTTATTGCCTATATTTGCGAATTCGCTAACTTTTCAAAACTCTAAAATTACGATATGTGTGCAGTTAGGTTAAATTATAAAAAGGAGAGATAGAGAAGTAACCAGAAGGTTTGGTGCGACTTCGTTTCGCGAGGTGTTTGGTTCTCGCCATGGCTGCTGCTGCTGTTGCAAAGAAGAAGAACCAAAAGCAGATTTGAGTAACTTGTTAATGGAGGATTTCAATAGTTTGAGAGAGAAATTCAGTTCCCGCTTTATTTCATTTTTTTGATTTTTGAAGAAGAATGAAGAGGTAACTGTACTCAACCCATGTCACTGCCACTGACATTATTTGCTCCTATATACCTTTACTTTTTTGTGAGTACTTTTTTCGATAATTTGCAATTTAAATCTTACTGTGGCAGTAAAAATAATTTTGCTTTTATTTTCAGTATAGTCCATTTATTAACTCAGGCTAGAATTACTATTTTTTTTTATTATTTGAAAGTTTTTTTTTCCGCAAATTTATCACTAGATAGTGTGTCTAGTGGCCTTTTATTAAACATAAAAAATAGGAAGAAAAGACAAATATACCCTCAAACTATCGTAAATAGTATACAGATACCCTCCGTCATACTTTTGGGACATTAGTGCCCCTGTTGTCCAAAAATTAGAGCATATTATCCCTTCACTCTAACGGAAGACTAAATAAGGACACATGGCGCAATCTTAGCCGTCGATTCGATATTTAATAAATGTCGGGTCGGTGGATAAGATTATGACACGTGTATGTCTGTTAGCGTAACGAGTATATATGCTCTACTTTTTGAACAATAGGGACACCAATGTCCCAAAAGTATGACGGAAGGTATCTGCATACCATTTACAATAGTTTGGGGATATATTTATCATTTTTCCCTAAAAAATATCAATAGGGATAAGTGCAAGCAAGGGAGGCTAGATCTTACCTTACTAATCCTAATGAAGTACCCAACGTCTACTACTTAACAAGCATGAAGAAAATAAGAGCTGGAGAGAACTAAGTATTTTCTGATCATCACAGAGTTTGTAATACATCCATGATGATATTACAAATGAGGATGCTTAAATAATGTAAAAATATGCCAATCAAGAAAAAAATTGAGTTATCAGCCTCAAACTTTCTATTACAAACGCATGAATTAAAAAAGATTGATAGCCCATTAAAAGTAACTTGAAGTATTTTTCTCTTGTCTTCTTCTTCAAACCTATCCATCAACACTTGATAATTCATACTTTCTTTATGGATTTATTGGATCTTGTTGAACCTATTGATACTGTCAAATGGTTCTGCTTTGCATGTCGCATCGGTAGGTGCCTTAGAACAAACTCCTCAGTCATTTTACCGTCCCAACTATGTTGCCTTCCATGTGTCTTCTTTTTGCTTTTGTTGCTTCCACTTTTTTGTTGCCTAGGTGATATATCTCCTTCCCTAGCCACTCTATCAAAGCATATATCCAACATATCCTCCTCATCTTCATCGAGAGAATTCTTGCCCAAATCAAGCATATTGTCTTCCTCATCTTCAACAAGAGAATCCTCGCCCAAATCAATTGTATTTGACACTAAGGCCCTTGACTCATTCTTCTTTGCAATCACACATTTAGGCACAAATACGGAAGCTTCTGGACTTAATTTGCTATTCAAAGTAGGTGGTGAGACCTGCTTTTCTTGGATCAAATCGTTGTCCTTCTCTGTTCACTTTACTTGCTTTCCAGTAGTCTTCGATAAAGCATCAAAGCTATTCGAATATAATAGGTCTCTTGAGGCATTACTAATATCTTACCTCTTCTCACTGTCATGAAAATTTTCAATCGCACCCTTTTCACTACATGGAGATTTATTTTGACTAGTCGGGGAAAGACTCCGATTATTTGAAAGTTAAAACTTGGCGTAAAATAGTTTTGCTTTTGTTTTCAGTTTAGTACATTTATTATCTCAGTTAGAATTACTACTTTTTTCAATTATTTGAAATTTACAACCTACGGTTGGAGTAAAATAGTTTTGCTTTTGTTTTCAGTTTAGTCCATTTATTATCTCAAGCTAGAATTACTACTCAGATTACCAGAGTGTTAACATTTTTAATTTTGTGTTAATTTGGTCATATTAGTTTACAAAATTAAATATTTAAGGGTTTCATTTTGAATTGAAATGCTCTATTTTTGTGAGAGATATTATTCTATAAATTTAAGGGATTTTAGGTTGTTTTCCCATTAAACAAATTTAGATAGAAGTTTTACATATGATTATTTATTGAAAAAATTATAGAAATCTCACCTTTTAGTTTATGTATCACCATTATCCCCTATAAGTTTTACAAATCTCCAAAATCCCTCATTTTTGTGCATCAGATTAGTGTATCTCGCGCATCAGATTAGTGTATCTCGCGCATCAAATTAGTGTATCATGTATAAAATGTAATGTATCTTACTTAACGATTAATGTATCTTGCGCATCAGATTAATGTATCAACGCTTATATTATTGTATCCGTTTGAGGGAATTATGTAATTATAAACTTTTAAGGGATATATTGTAATTTTACTTTAAAAGTATGTGATTTCTGTAATTTGCCCTTATTTATTATTTACATACTTTGAGGCTTTGTTTATTTTTTTTCCATTCTTTATTTAATTGTAGGGTATTTCTAGACTATATTACCTTTCAATTATTTTAAAAGAAATACTCCACTTTATACTTATCGAATCAAGCTTCTAAATTTATTTTATCCGAATAAAATTTTAAAAGAAATATCATTGACTTTGTGTCTTGAATTTTTGGTGCATTTAATTTGTGATTGGATCCTTGAAAAGGTTTTGATGCGACCCAAAATTGGAGACCCAGCCTCTAGTCATTTGGATCAATATTTTTTTTAGTTTTCACCCCGATGTTCATTACTTATATTAGAGCCTGACTAAATTCAAATCTGTATCTGAAGTCCCTTATTGAGAATAAAGTGCTTTCTAATAAAAACGATTTCCTACCCAGAGAGACTCAAACCCAGATTTCTGATTAAAAATGAAGGAGTACTTGAAAATATGAGATTTTGTGTTGGTTGTGGAGGGGCGAGGTAGGGGTTTGTGTAAATACAAAAATTTTAAAACTTAACACTAATTAAAAAAAGTCTCTCCTAGCTATTTCTTAAGACTGGGATTTTTGAAACATAAATTATAATCTCAGAACTTCCTCATAATTCATGCCTGTATTAAATATTTTTCAAATAAAAAGACAAAAAATTACTCTTGATAGGCGAAAAGTTACAAGTAAAACTGTAGGAAAGGGAGGAGTAGAGTTCAACGGTAACTTGGACATGCCTTGATGATTTGCAGTAGATACCCCTTAGACTCAAATATTGAGAAATAATCCCTTCCAACCTAGAAGAAATATCCAAGTATAGTCTTATGAATAAGCTATTCTGGTTAATGATATTCAAGTTTGATATCCTTGTTCAGTATGCTGCCTCAAATGTAATTTTATTTGTAAACAACTGATAAAGCTTTGTATCTACATGATATCCAATAATATTCTACAAAGATGGAATACAAGACATATTAAAGTGTTGAGAACTATGATCTCTCTGGCACTAGAGAAATTTTCTTCAAATGAATGTTATGTAATATTCAAAATTTCACAGAGTAGGAGCTTCCATTCCAAACTAGGCTATAGCTAGCTATGCTTATTTGTTAACTAGACTATATGGCAGCCTGCATGTCCAGTTCTATGGTTGTGAAGGCATCGGCGATGTTGGAGGCTTGAGATCAGGATACTGCATGCATATAACACATTCAAAGCAAAAGATGTTAAACTAAGTAGAACAGTGACCATTAAGTATATATAGCATATAATTTATAAATTATCAATCTCAGAATTCGAAAGAGGACCATCTTCAGTTCATTGATGAGAAAGGGTGTGCTAGCTAGCTAGCCACTATGACTGGAAGATATCGCGTGTGGCAATCATAAAAAGAGTTAAGTAGAACAAAATGATGAAAAGAGCAGTTGAACATAAAAACGGAAACTTACATTAGGATAAGGCGAGAGTGGCCTTGAACTTTCAGGTAGTGCATCAGCTTTGACTTCAGCGTTAGGGACTGCATTGACTTCTGGAGTAGGCGGGGAAGTTGCTTCTACTTTAGGCGGTGCAATATCCTCCTTAGCAACTGATTCAGTTTCCTCAACAGTGCTGGTGGCTGCAGCAGGGCTTGCCTCTACAGGTGCAGATAGAGCATTGCTACTCACCGAGTCTGGAAGAAGAGCCTTCCCTATTTGCTGAATTTTCAATATGCAAGGAACCAATTATGAAAACATCGTTTAAAGCAAACATTTTCTTCTCTGGAATGGGAAACGATAATCTTGCAAAGTTCTGTACGTATGGAGATTACCTTAATCTCATCTACCAGTTCCTTTGGAGCAACCTTAGTGGAGAGGAACTCATCAACTTGTTGCAGAGTTTTCTTTCTGTCCTGAAAAGGGAAAATATGGTAATATTAAAGGACCTCTCACATCTAAAAACTTTGATCCCTATGATCATTATCTAATTTAAGTAAAACTAGGCAGAGTTGATCGATAAAGTCACTCATTTGACCAGCAATGGAGAACTTTCAAATCTCTTTGCTACTTCAACCCAAGTATAATCCTAAACCATTATGAACTGAAATGATTTTATGCACGAAACAGTTAGTTCAATGCATAGAAAATATTATCTAGAAGTGTCAATTATCTAACTCTTGATAACGGAGGAAACTGTATCCTATTAGCAACAAGTAAATTAACAATTGCCTGCTTTGAGGGCATAAAACAGTTCTATAACTAAAATATACAAATCAAGAGTCGATCTCTCTTTGATGAGTTATTCTTCATTTTAATTTCTAGGCATAAGTACAAATCATCCTTTGAGCATAAAATGATTATCATAAAGCACTTTTCAGATGCAATATGGACATTTATTTTCAAGGCTACATATGCTAGTTGCAAGAGAAGTATTCACTGCAAATATCACGGACAAACCTCTGCAAACAGGAGTTTCTTGCTAACCAGTTGGACAAGTGCAGCTGAACCCAACAGTTGGAGAATTGTTTCTACCTGAAAGAAGAACCGACCATAAGATGTTTACTAAATTGAGCTCATCATACGAATGAGGGACAAAGAAGTTAGAGCTGACCTCTGAGAAGGCTAAAATCCCAAGACCAGCAGCTGCTGCAACACCTAAGCCTACAGTAACAGCATCAGAACCTTCCTGTATATTAAAAAAAATAAGAAGTCAAGTGAAGTGTATGATCAAGTAATTCTAGACTACTAGTTCACCATATTGCCTCATGAATTTGATAATTTGTGCAAAGTTGACTAGTTTGAGAGAGTGCATCTTTGTTAACAATTAATTTCAGGTCTGAAACCACAAAGTAAGTTAGGGACAAAGAATAGCTGAATGCATGAAGTTCATCAAGGAGGAAAACATTGATTTGGATGGGCTTCATTAGGCATTTTGTTTGAGAAATGTGGAGTGGAATGCAGAAGAGCTGCAATATAGATTTTTCTGCAAGAATTCCAAGCATTTTTCAAATTTACATGGGCATTCATAACAAAACATAACAAGAAAATATTGGGTATCCCATAATATTGTCATGTTAAGATCTGAATTCAAGTTATACTAATACCATTGCATACTCTCATTGCTAGCAAATTACTTGTTTGGAGTTTGAGAAAGACGAATGCCGATGACATTATTGAACTCAGATAGGATTGTCAGATATGCTAATTAGTAGCATGGTTTGGAAAGTGAAACATACCCCAAGAACACCATCAAGAGCATCAGACAGATTGCTCAGATCAAGACCCAATGTTTTCTTAGGAAGAATCCAAGGAAGGCTGCTGTTCTGCAGAAAGTGGAATTCGTTAAACTTCATAACCACCAACTTGTTTTTAAATAAAAGCTAGTACAACTAGATTTGTGAATCTAACCAGCCATCCCCGGGGTCCTTCAGCACCATCTTTGATTGCATAAGCAGCTTTAAATCCATTTTCTGTGACTAACTCCGCAACCAGTTCAGAGTTTCCATCAAATCTGGCTTCATTACAATTCATAAAGAAACAGGATCAGATTCAATTTGTTAGATAGCTGGCTAATACAAGAACTCAATATCATAAATTTATTAAGGAAGTTGCATGTATGACAACCACATCAATAGAAACTTTCAATTTGCCTACTAATCTTTGATTTGTTCCTCTAAAACTTGATGCAACACCTAATAGACTAAAGATTAATAGAGCTAAACCAAACCCCAAGATCCAAGTAGATAGCCGAAAGTTCAAGATATACACATTGAGGCATATGACTGACTAATTGGTCGCTGCATAAGATGGTGAGCTCACTAATTATGTTAAAGCATGTTAAACACAAGCAGTCCTCACTGAATTACTACTAACTTTGAGTTACATCTTGCTGCTAAGGTTTCACAGGGATATCAACAAGATAAGCTAAGTACCTACATATTATCAGATTACAACAACAACAACATACCCCGTGGAATCCCACAAGTGGGGGTCTTGGGAGGGTAGAGATTACGCAGATCTACCACTACCTCGTGAGGATAGAGGGGCTGTTTCGGAAAGACCCTCGGCTCAAGTTGAACAAATCCAAGTAAAAGAAGAAGAAAACAGTGAAGCAATCATAGCAACTAATAAAGAAAGCATTGTAGAGCCTACAAGAAAGGAACAATAGCAACAACAAAATAATGTGATAATCGAAACACAATAAATAACATATGATGACTAAATATTAGCAGATTAAAAGACAATTAAGCAATTCTTTTCAAATCTTACTTGTCTAGAATGAACAATGTAGTATTCTCAGGCTCCTTGAACTTCAAAGACAACTTTTTTAAGAAACCAGTCTTATCTTCACTCTTATAAACAACAGTAACTGGCTTCTTCTTCAAACCCCTAATATCAGGACTCCCCACCTCCCTCAATTCTGCAGGTTGTCTTATATCAAGCAACTGTGCACCTGCATCATCTGCCAATTTTGCATAAGCTGTCTTAGCAGACTCAACACCCCATGACTTAGGTGGCTTTCCAAGAACCTGAAACAGAACAATTGGCAAAGCCAAAGCAGCAAATCCACCAGCTATAATTATAGGATTCTCTGATGCAAAAGTGGTCACAGTTTCCACAACTGCAGTTGCATCAAACTCAGCACCTGGACTTGTTGCAGATTGCTCAAGTGTCTCCTCATATGTTAATGCTTTAGCTAAGCCTGTATTTAGAACTGATGATACAAGTACTAAACCCCCTTGAACATTTCTTGATAAATTCTCAACTGAACAAAGATTCTTGAATGGGAAAGAAATGGGGTGTGGTGGGATTTTCTTGGCCTCATTTCTTCTATCAGAAAGAACAGAGAGAGGTGTCAATCTTACTGCATTAATTGCCTCCATACTATATTTCTTTATCACAATTTACACTGAAATTTCTATGGGGTCTTAAAGGGAGTTGATTTGAGGAAATTGTAGTACAGTACTAGCTAAATTATTATTATTTTTCTATTAGAAGCTTTTGGATTTTGGCATATTTCATCATCAATAGGTGCACATTGGCTGGTGTGCTATGAAGCTTTGTGGGGGGGGGGGGTGGGGGGTGGAAGGAAAGAGGGATATCCCACCACTCATTGGATTCCACGTGTCATGGAAGGATTACATGAGGGCTGTTGATCATGTTGTGCTGAGGCAATTGCATGGCCAAGAATTAGTGAAGAAAATGATGAATTTCTGAAGTACCACTTCATTTTGCTTCACTTTAGTACACTGTACTCCAGTACTGGACATCTTAATCTCCTAAACTAGCTTACTAATTCACATTTGAAATTATGTAAAAGTTATCTAAAATCTCAAATATTGTTTGAATTTGTTTTGTTAAAAAATTATAAATTGATCTTTGAATTTCAACAATTCAACACTCTAATTTACTTCAAATAAACTCAAGTTCGAAACATAAGTTTCATATATTCAAAAGAACAAATATTATAAAGAATCTAAGAAACACAGTTAACACACTGTAACTTTCTATATAAATGAAACATATGTTAAAATTAACTAAAATGTTAGGTGTGTGCACTTGAAATTTTTTGCCAACAAAATAATTATTATTTTTTTTCAACTTTGAATGCCCAAATCTACTTTAATAAGCTCAAATTTAAAATATAAATTTCATATATCATAAAAAAAACAAACATCAATCATTTATTTATCAAAATAAAGATAAATCTACCAATCTCATTTACACTCTTTAATTTTTTTTCCACATATATTTATGCTCAGATATATATAACTAATACACTTACACACATATTAGAAATGCCTTGTGTAAAAGAAATATATGTAAGGGATATTAGGTAATTTGAAGGACCAAAATAGGATACTCCACGAATTTTTTACACAGTTGCGATACGAATGTCACAAAAATTGGATAGCTTAAATGTATTTTCGATCATAAATTTTTTATTAATATTACTTCCTTCGTTCTATATTAGTTGATAGCTTCTTTTTTTATACAACTATTAAAAAATCATAAATAATTTTACTAATTCACTTTTTAAAAATTTCCTTGAGAGTTTTACAAACAAATATAAACACTTTAAAAAAGAATTAATACAGAGTAAAAAAAATATAAGTAATTAATATTTTCTTAATTTAGTAAGATAACAATTAATATGAAATGGAGTAGTTAAGTGACATCACCCGAAGTCCACGTAGAAGATAGATGCAGATATTATCTTCTTCTCGGGGTTTTGGTATTTCTGATAAACCCTAACCATATCAACATCTCCAGCATTCATTACTCTGCTCGAACCACGAAGGTTAGTGTGTCGCCTTCTTCTTTCTTTCTTTCTCTCATACTGCGTTGTAAAACATACTAATTGCTAGCTTTGCTTTCTAAATTCTGCGTAAAACCTTCTTGTTTTCATGTTTTATAATCTGTTCCTTTGCTAATTCTATCAAGAATTGGGACTCCTCATGGAACCCAAATTTCTTCTTTCCTCGACAACTAGACCCTTTGCTCCAAATGGAGCTTTTCCCTTTTCAGTTTCCCAAAAATCATCTTTTATTCAGAAAACTAGAATTTGTCCAGTGACCCATCTGGCTATATCAGCAGAGCATTTTGGAAAGACTCAAATTTTGGGCAAAAGTTTATCTTTTGGAGTGAAGAATGAATCTTTATGCAATTTAAGGAAACCCCAGGTAGAAAAGACTCCATTTTGGGGCAAAAGTCTATCTTTTAGAGAAAAGAATGAATCTTCAGGTAATTTGAGGAAGGTGCCCAATTTTTCTATTAGAGCAGCTGGTACTGTGAAGAGAAGGAAAGAGCTTCCTTTTGATAATGTGATTCAAAGGGATAAGAAGCTGAAATTGGTTATGAAGATTAGAAAGATTCTAGTGAGTCAGCCTGATAGAATTATGTCGCTTCGTGAATTGGGTAGGTATAGAAGAGCATTGGGTCTGGAGAAGAAAAGGAGATTTATCGGTTTATTGAAGAAATTTCCTGGAGTGTTTGAGATTGCAGAAGAAGGGGCTTACTCACTTAAGTTCAAAATGACACCTGAGGCGGAGAGGCTTTACTTGGAAGAAATGAAGATTAGGAATGAAATGGAGGATTTGTTGGTTATCAAGTTGAGGAAACTATTGATGATGTCTTTGGACAAACGGATTCTGTTGGAGAAGATTGCACATCTGAAGACTGACTTAGGGCTTCCGTTGGAATTTCAGGATACAATCTGCAGGCGATATCCACAATATTTCAAGGTAGTTCCAACTGGACGAGGGCCGGCTCTGGAGTTAACTCACTGGGACCCTGAGCTTGCTGTGTCTGCTGCGCAGATTGCAGAAGAGGAGAATAGGCAAAGAGAGTTGGAAGAGAAGGATTTGATCATCGATAGACCACCAAGGTTCAATAGGGTGAAGTTGCCTAAGGGTCTTAAACTTTCAAAAGGTGAGATGAGAAAGATTAGTCAGTTTAGAGATATGCCTTACATTTCTCCTTATGAGGATTTTTCTGAAATAAGGCCTGGTACTCCGGACAAAGAAAAACACGCATGTGCTGTGGTTCATGAACTTCTGAGCCTCACAGTTGAGAAAAGGACTCTTGTTGATCACCTTACTCATTTTAGGGAAGAATTTAGATTCTCACAACAGCTAAGAGGCATGCTGATAAGGCATCCTGATATGTTCTATGTCTCTTTGAAGGGGGAGCGAGACTCAGTTTTTCTCCGTGAAGCTTATCAGGATTCACACTTGATAGAAAAGAACAGGTTATTGCTCATCAAGGAAAAGCTTCGCTCCCTCGTTTCCATTTCAAGATCCCGGAGAATCACTCCACAAACTGATTCTGATGAAACAGAAAAAACTGAGTCCAATTATGGAACTGATGCTGAGGAAGGTGAAGATTGGTCCGACATTGATAACTTAGGGAGTGATGGATTAGATGAAGATGATGAAGATTCTGATAATGACTGGAGTGCTGATGGTGATGATATACCTCCAGACTTCAGTGATGATGAAGGTACCGTTAACCTTGAAGAGGGCAAACTGACTACACAAGTTAATGGTGCAATGAAGAAGGAAAACAAGGTTCTGGACCCTGTTTTTCCAGATGGCCGGCCTCGTGAACGCTGGTGATAAATATAAGTTTGTGCTTGAGATTATTTCATGCATTAGCCTATTACACTCTCACAAGGTTTGAAGTCCCCAGGGTAAAAGGTTCTTCCATTCTTTTGACACCCTGGCTACACATTCTTTTCTCTTAACAGGCCTTGGCTTAGCATCTTTGCATCAGATTTATGGTTCGATGTTGTCGTAAGTTAAATATCTTTTACATTACACAGCTCATATAAGCTTCTGCTGGAAGTGGCATGTGAATTCTTAGTTCTGTACTAATTGAGACACAAAAGCTTCATATGTTAGATTGTTTGCCTGATTGTAAAGTGTAGCTTTACATAATACAACATGGTGTTCATGGATTATTGACTGTGATCTTTTGTGTTGTAATTCAAAACATATAAGCATTTAGCTAGTCTTTAAAAACCTTGCTTAGCTCAGCTGTCCATTTTACGAATTGATGGCCTATTTGCTTTAGGGCATTGGTAAAATGACAAAGATAATACATGGCAGGTTGTCTGGTAGGCACACATTACAAGTTCGAGTCCTTTTGTGAACCAAGTCTAGTATTTAGTGAGGAAGGATCGAGGCCCTGGTAGCAACTACCTGTTTCATCAACCATGTCTGATATTTAAGGGAGGAAGGGTGGAGGGCCTGCACATTAACTATGATAGATTTTCTGATTATACAATCGAAAAAAGTAATGATGGCATATATTCTGTTGCCATCTCTTTGAAGTAATGTTGTGTTTGTTCTTGTGAGCAAAATAGCTGTGGAATAAAATGTCTTCTTCCCTTGATCACCATCTCCAAGTCTACCCAAGGCCCAAGCAATATCTGCCACTTGTACAGTCATTAGTGGATTCTACTCCAGACAATATCAAAGATATGGATTCTAGAATTATCAATTATAATAATTATGTATAAAGTCAATGTTGCAAGGTTTTCTCTATACTCTTCTTAACAATGTTTTCTTTTTTATATTTCTAATCAAATTATGGAACTTACTGGTGATATTTGTGACTCACTGCCAATGTTTCTAGTCCATTATTCTTGAGCAAACTTCACATGATTTTATTGTTGTTTTGGCTCCTCTTCTGGTAGACTTTTGTACTGTTTTCTTGTTATTTGTTATATTCTCTTCATTGTCTCCTTCTTTATACCGAAATTTGTTGCACATGAGCCGAGGGTCTTTCGGAAACAGTCTCTCTACCTCCATGAGGTATTAGTAAGCTCTGTGTACATTTTACCCTCCCAAACCTAATTTCACTGGGTATGTTGTTGTATTCTTGAGCAACTTCACCACAGTATCCAAAACTGTTACAACCACTGTATTGTCATGAATATTTAGCATCCGTTACTATTATATTACTCTGATCAAAAAAGCAAAACCATATCTTCGATTGGATCATTCTTTATTATCACACTTAAGATGTGTCCATTTTTCAACATAAAACCTAGCAACGTAGTTGTTTGTGGGAATTAATATGGGGACCTCATACTTTGTTTTTTTGGTTCCAAACAAAGAAGATCATTAATTTAGTGATTTACTTGATCTTTAACAGTGATTATCGTACAATTATTTAACAAAGCAAGATTCATGTAGATAAGGTGATCTACGTCGAGCTATGGATAATTACTTACTTGCATCAGGTGTTTACATTTAACCAGGGGCGGCTCAACGTAATTGGGGGCCTAAAGCGAAATTTCAATTTGCGGCCTAAAATATAAATAAACTTTATATACGTATTTATTCAAAATTTATTTTTCTTATACTATTTAGATGAAAATTATTAGTATTTAATAGTATATATTATTTTTTCAGTTACTAGTTTTAGATAAGATTTTATCAACTCAACATTGAAAAACATCATTTAAGTGAGGCAATTACAGGGGCGGCTCTATGCTTTAGAAAATAAGGCCTTTGCCTTAGGCCCCCAAATTTTGGGGGCCCCAAATTATTGTCAAGAATAAATTATGTGTTCAAACTTTTATAGAAAAATTAATTATTTATGATAAAAAAGTATAATTTTTTTTAAAATAAATTATTTTATCCACTTTAACATCTTTTGTACTTTGTTAAAAATAAAAATTAATAGTGAAAAGTGTTGAACAAAGTGAATTACAAATTCTTTTTTATTTCTTTTTAAATTTTAGTTTCAAGCATTACTATAAGCATATTAAAATGAGGTATATCAAGTCATCAACTTCTTGAGTCAAATTCTATGGTTCTAACTCTTATTTTTATTTAATATTTATCAACTTATTACTTATAGCATTATGTTAACAATACATATAAATTGTCTCACTTAAAGCATGTTTTTCAATGTTGAGTTGATAAAATCATACCTAAAACTAGTAATTGAAAAAACAATATTAAGTACTAGTAATTTTCATCTAAATAGTGTAATTTTTTTTTTTGAATAAATACATATATGAAGTATATTTATATTTTAGGCCGCAAATTGAAATTTTGCTTTAGGCCCCCAATTACGTTGAGCCGTCCCTGGGCAATTATTATATGTATTGTTAACATAATGTTATAAGTGATAAGTTGATAAATATTAAATAAAGATAAGAGTTAGAACCATAGAATTTGACTCAAAAAGTTGATGACTGGGTATACCTCATTTTAATATGCTTGTAATAATGCTTGAAATTAAAATTTAAAAAGAAATAAAAAAGAATTTGTAATTCACTTTGTTCAACACTTTTTACTATTAATTCTTATTTTTAACACAATACAAAAAATGTTAAAGTGGATAAAATAATTTATTTTTAAAAAAATTACACTTTTTATCATAAATAATCAATTTTTTCTATAAAAAATTTAGCACATAATTTATTCTTGATAAAAATTTGGGACCTCCAAAATTTGGGGGCCTAAGGCAAAGGCCTTATTTTCCAAACCACAGAGCCGGCCCTACATTTAACTAAATAATTAACTTTAAGAATAATAAATCAAAGTGAAAATTCATATCACTTAATCATGATTAAGTATTAAAAAATGTATATGCGAGAGTTATATTTTACATTCATTTGATTGGTGTAAACACTACTATGTATTTTCCTATAGAAACGAACAATATTTGCATATAATGTTCAACTTTGTGTAGAAAAGAATCTTTATGATCCAATTTTCTTAAAGTCCATGCCACCTTCTGCACTATCTGTTGATTTAAAAATTAGATAAGTTACTTTCAGCTATAGGCCAATTCAGGGGACGCGGCGTAATTGCTGGTTAAAGTTAACTGGAAATCTATATTCCATAGATTCTTCATTTCCCTTTATGCACTTGAAAGGGTATGTTTAGAGTGGGTGTTTTTTGGATACGCTACAGTAAAACTTGGGAAAAATACACACACATAATCCTAACTCATTAAAGGGGAAACGCTCCCCTTTGCCAGAGCTAAAACTCAAAACTTCTAATTAAAGGTAGAGGGATTCCGTTCATCCCACCACACCCTTTATTTACACGCATCCTAAATTGATGTAACAAGGCTGGGAATTTGTTTTTCTGCATATAGGGGAAATGATACTTCTAGCAGGTATGCTCACTGGCTCTTGTAGTGTTATGGAGATGTTGAGGTTTATCCATAATTGTACAAGTATTGGAATATTGTGGTTTGAAATGAGAATTATTGAGATAAAGAAGACAGCAAGAAATATTCGTATGGCAATAGGTCAAATAGAGAAGATAATGAGATGCTTTTATTCTTTAATCACGAGGGGTTGACTTGTGTCTTCAGATGGACACAGAGATTATAATGAGTCTCTGTTATGAATCAAAAGAGTCTGGTTTTGCCACTCATATATATCAAGAGCCAAGATATCAAGGTCCCACTAAATTCCCTTTTTCTATTCTGTAACAAGAGTATTTATTTTTGCCTATAAATAGGCTGCTCTAAATCACTCAATTTGTCAATCAAAACACATTTAACTAAAGATTCTTCAGGGCCCTTATTGCTGCCTCTCCCTCAAGGGCTTCTCTCCTGCATGCTTATATGTTGGGAAAGAAGCTCTAGCAGGGAGAGCCAATAACAAGTGTCTTGTTTAACAACTTATGTTGCTCTTCACAGTTCACAGGACAGTCTTTTTTCACTCTTCCTCAAAGGCTTCTGGCTTAAAATGCCTTCTGTGCTAATGCTAGAGGTCTTTCGAGTGAGAGTGAATAAATTCTGCCATGATATATATAATTGCAGAATTATGACTCAACAAAGAAATTGTTCTTCTTCAGGGCTCACGTGAACCTAATAGCCTTATATATGTATTAAGAAATTTACTAAATATCTATTAGTTACAGTAATATTTGACTGTGAGATTCACCTCTTTTCTTTTGCCTTCTGATTCCTATGCAGTTAAGGTGGATCAACACTGTACAATTGGCGGAAAAGTGCTCTACGATCACGATCAAGAGAGAGAGGAATGAGGATCTAGTTTTAACCCTGAATTTTTTATCTTAAGGCTTAACTGAGTAAAGCAGGAGCAGAAGTAATTTTGTCTGCACTAACTGCCTTTGCAAGTGATTCGCTGACTTTAAATCCTGAATCTGCCTTTTAGAGCCGGAAGTGGCTGGTCGTATTCCTTCTTCCTTGGTGTATGTTGATCTTTTCTCTCTGGTGGTGGCTATTCAACATCTCCACAGAATTGTAATGTGTTTCATAATGAGGAGGCATTCCATAATGATTTGGTTTTGGAAGACAAATTGGCTCCAATAGAATCGAACACATATAGAAAATTCAAATAATTAAACAACTAGATTTGGAATTAAGATGTAGCTGGCTAATGATTTTCTAGAGGAATAAATAAATAAATCATGCACCTCATCTATATGTCTTTTTTCTACTTCGGAGAGGTCTGCGTACACTGGACTCCAGTGGGATTTCAATGAGTATCTTATTGTTGTTGATGCACCTCATCCGAAATAAAACTTTCATTTGATTTTGCCCAATCTTTATTTTTGCTTTTGTTATTTCCTTTTGAAGATTCTCCAGGAAACAAAAGAAAAATAAAAAGATTTAGGGTATGGAGGGTCCACTTTATATTTTTCATTTTCAATTATCTAAAAAGTACACACTAGATAACCTTATCCATTAAAGTAGATTCTTGATTTTCAATCATAAGAATTTATTTCCCTTTCTGTTTTTTTTCCTTCTAGTAGCTTTTGTTAGAGCCCTCCAAATCCTATTCCTTAAACTGTCTTTTTTCCATAATCAACTAACCTTAGATGCCATAATTTTCTTCAAGCTCAAAATTCACCATGGAGGCTGTTGCTACTCCATTGTACCACTTCATTTCTCCACTCAACCAAAAGCAACCAAGATGCTATTCAACAAATTTTGGCCTTGTAAATGCAGCAGAAACACTTTCTGAATCTTCACTCTCAACCTCTCTTGAATCACTTTCTTCATTGCAATTTGATTATGATAAAAAGTTCAACTCTCTAAATTCAGTCAGAGCTATGCATGCCAAGATGATAAAACTGTCTAATGAATGGGATTCAAAGAAAAATATGCAGTATTTTATCTCAGGTTACTTGGAATTTGGTGATTTTCAATCAGCTGCAGTGTTATTCTTTGTGGGGTTTGCAGAGAATTATTTGTATTGGAATTCTTTCCTTGAAGAATATACATATTTTGGAGGAACCCCATGTGAAATTCTTGAAGTTTTCAGTGAATTGCATAGTAAAGGAGTGAACTTTAACACTGAAATTCTAGCTTTTGTTTTGAAAATCTGTTCAAAGTTAAGAGATATGTGGTTAGGATTGGAAGTCCATGCTTGTCTGATCAAGAGGGGTTTTGATTTAGATGTCTATACAAAATGTGCACTGATGAATTTTTATGGGAGGTGCTGTGGGACTGAGAGTGCTAATAAGGTCTTTAAAGAAACATCAATGCATGACTCTTTATTGTGGAATGAAGCCATTCTGGTTAATTTGAGGAATGAAAAATGGGCAGAAGGTCTACAAATGTTTCGCGATATGCAGGCGTTACTTGTTAAGGCCAATAGTTTAACCATTTCCAAAGTTTTGCAAGCCTGTGGGAAATTGGGAGTTCTTGATGAAGGAAAACAGATTCACGGGTATGTTATCCGATATGCCTTAGATTCGAATATACTCATACGTACTGCACTGATCAACATGTATGTGAAAAATGACAATATCAAACTTGCTAGAGTAGTTTTTGATTCAACAGACAATCGTAATCTGCCTTGTTGGAACAGTATTATCTCGGGGTATACTGCACTTGGTTACCTTGATGATGCGTGGGAGCTATTTCATGAAATGAAAACTTGCAACATAAAACCGGACATAATAACCTGGAACAGCCTTTTATCTGGTCATTTTCTTCATGGATCTTATCGAGAAGTTTTGGCAATTGTGAGGAGAATGCAGAGTGCTGGTTATCAGCCAAATCGCAACTCTATAACTAGTGCTCTTCAAGCAGTGAGTGAATTAGGATATTTGAGAATTGGGAAGGAGATTCATTGCCATGTTTTAAGAAATGGACTTGACTATGACCTTCATATTGCAACTTCACTAGTAGACATGTATGTGAAGAATGATGATTTGCAATCTGCTCAAGCTGTTTTTGATTGTATGACAAACAGAAACGTTTGTGCTTGGAATTCATTAATTTCGGGTTATTCCTGCAAAGGACATTTTGAAAAAGCTGGTGATCTTTTGGATCAGATGAAGGAAGAAGGGATTAAACCAGATATAGTGACATACAATAGCATGGTTTCTGGTTATTCAACGTCTAACTGTATCAAGGAAGCTTTGGGTATGATTAGAAGGATCAAGAGTTCTGGCATGTCTCCTAACGTCATTTCATGGACCTCTTTAGTATCGGGTTGTTCACAGCAAGGATACTTCAGAGAAGCATTTGAGTTTTTAACGCAGATGCAGGATGAAGGTATCAAAGTCAACTCAGTTACTGTTGCAAGCTTACTTCAAGCATGTGCAGGTCTCTCTTTGTTACACATTGGGAAAGAGATACATTGCCTGTGTATACGAAACGATTTTATAGATGATGTGTACGTATCTACGGCTCTCATAGACATGTACAGTAAGTGTGGGAACTTAGAAAATGCCCAGAAGGTTTTCCAAAACCTTGAGGACAAAACTTTAGCTTCCTGGAATTCCATGATAACCGGATTTGCCATATACGGCTTAGGTACAGAGGCAATTTCACTCTTTGATAGGATGAGAGAAGCAAACATCCAACCAGATGCCATAACATTTATAGCTCTTCTATCTAGTTGTAAACATTCTGGTTTGCTTGATAAAGGTTGGAAATACTTTGATCATATGAAGACAGATTTTGGAGTTATCCCCACAATTGAGCATTATTCATGCATGGTTGATCTTCTGGGAAGAGTCGGTTACCTTGATGAAGCATCGGATTTTATTCAGTCAATGCCAATGGAGCCAAATGCAGCTGTTTGGGGTGCTCTTCTTACATCATGCCGGATACATGGAAATGTTGAGCTTGGAGAGATTGCAGCTGAACACCTTTTCAAGTTAGAACCATATAATGCAGCTAACTATGCCTTAATGATGAACCTCTACGCACTTTCAAACAGATGGAAGGATGTTGACCGTATCAGAGACAAGATGGAGGCTATGGGAGTGAAAATCGGACCAGTATGGAGTTGGCTAAAAGTCGATCAGAGGATTCACATCTTCTCTACAGCAGGAAAAACTCATCCAGAAGAAGGAGAGATATTCTTTGAGTTGTACAAGTTAATTTCTGAGATGAAAAAGTTGGGATATAAACCTGATACTAAATGTGTTGTTCAGAACATTTCTGAAGTAGAGAAAGAAAAGGCACTGCTTGGTCACACAGAGAAACTGGCAATTACATATGGATTGATCAGGACCACAAGTCCTGCACCTATTAGAGTGATCAACAACACAAGAATATGTTCAGACTGTCATACAGTTGCAAAATATATGTCGTTGCTGAGAAGGCGAGAGATTTTCCTAAAAAGATGGTGTCCGCTTTCACCATTTTAGGGATGGTAACTGTTCTTGCTGTGACTTCTGGTAGTATGCAGAACATCTTATTCTCCTATAACAGAAAACAAATGCTGTGTTGCACCATTTTTGTAAATGTAATTCTTTTTTGTTAATATGAACTTCATAGGTATGGACAAATGTCGTGAATACAGTGATACTTGTAATCAGTTTAAGTGTTATTATATCTCCTAGCCGGAGAGCTTGATCACTCTATTGCAAAAAGAAACGATTCAGTAGTTCTATTTAGAGTGAGTACATAATCGTTATAGTATGATGACTCCCATGTTATTTATCCATATTTTGTTCTGCCCTCGTTTACTAGCAATACTTGTAGCATCTAATTTATTAATAGATCAGTAAGTCTCTAGACTATCTAACTATACCAGTTTCATGACAACCCTTGCTTCCTAGCAAACATCAAAACTGTTTAGAGGCAAATTTGTGCAAAGCGTTCAGTCTGTTTATGAGAACTGACTTTTCGGATTTATTTTCTTCACACCATGATTGGTTCCAAGGAAGAGAGGGAAGAGGGGGAGAGGGGAGAGTTAAAGAAGAGAGGAACTCTTGCTGAATTTTTCTTTATGTTCATATTATTGTTTCTTTCCTTTTCTATATTTGCATTTTCCTGGAAAGACTTGTATAAAAAAATAGCTATCATTTTTGTATGGAACTCTTTGAAACTAGTTCATCAATTACTAATTGTTCTTCAATTTATCTCTAAAGGTCAATCGAAAAGTTGCAGCCTGTAGCTATCTGGCACAAAAGAAGAGGAACAATATCTCATAGTTGTAACTCTATTGAAAAGTGTTAACAATAGAAAGGGTAAGAAGACAGGTTACTTAACCATAGCACTACTAAGAGATCTCAAAGGAGAAGGGGGAAATTAATGTACTCATAACGCGGTCTATTTAACAGTGGAACTGTGTATTAGCCATTCATCGTTATGAACCCAGAACGATTCCCTTGATTCCTCTTCAGGAAAGAAATTAGGATGATTCACTTTCTTGGAAGCCTTGCACCCTCAATCAAAATGCAGCTGCATGTTATATTGGTTTGATTTTCTTCATTCACAGATTATTTCTTTCTTACTTACTAGCATATCTTTTTGGCATAGGGAAGTGTGATAAACATAGATGATAACAGTTACAGCCACCCTTTGGTCAATCATTTATCTTCTTCAAGTATGATATTTTCAACTTATGATATTAATCATCAACAACTCATGTTAAAATACTAATGCAGGTAGCACACCTTCGCTTATAGAGAATGTCTTATGGCAATCCCAATTACCTATTGAAAATCGACTGTTTGACCTTTTGCATTTGAGCAACCTATAAACCTTAAGCTTCATTTCTAGTCCCCATTCCATCTTATATAGGAGCCAATGATTATTGGAGCTTTGCACCAAGGCTGTGAGCATGTAGCCTTATGGTCATGAAGTGGATTGAGAACTATGAGATCTCGTGTTCTAATTCCACGAGTTATCAAAAAAATTATCCATATGCCCATTTGAATACTTGTTCTCCATGTGTGCTCCATTTAAGTCAGAACACAATAGTCACCAACTATCTTCTTGCTGATGAAGATACTGTTACCTTTTTCATACACCAGTATCAAATTATCCATAATTTACTAATGAAAAGGAAGACAGCCTATGCAAATTTGACAACTGTGTGCTATAGATAGGATCATAGGAACAAGATAAGAGATGAAAAAATGACTGATAACCACTCTTTTTAATGAAGTGTTCCAAATTTCCTCTATTGCTATTCCCTGTAAGAAAGGGCAGAAAAGTCCTCCCTAATGTTTCACTCCCAACAACATTTCATAAAGTTTTATCATCCTCAACACGTCAACACCTAATTAATCCAATCATAGTCAAAACTCAGCTTAAATCCTTAAGCTCAATTGCGTGAAGACACCCCTTTCTGAGATTGGACATAAGTTGGCAGTAGAGTGGAAAGTAGTGACTATCAAATTCAAATGATATGTAGTCCTAACTTCACACAATCTCAGACGATATAAATATGTGACATGGACTCTGGTTATGCCTTTGTATACTTGATATGCGAGTGTAATTATCTGATTCAGATACATGTATCTTTTTTCTCTATTTAACGAGCATGAAAGACTCACGTGAAGCAAATTCAGTGAAAAGATAAGAGTTGACCAGACAACAGACAGCACTACCTACACGCGAATTACGTTCTGAGGTTGAGCAGTCTCAATATCAGCACAAAATTTGGAGATGAAACCTGGTTGAACCATATTCTTAGTTTCTAACACAAGTATGGTATAACAGCAAGACTCAAAAGCAAACATGAGATAATAATAAAGGAAAATCACTCTTCTTTACTCTATAGTCCAGACAAGAGTTCTACAACTTTTATATATACAAAGCTCTGGAAACAAGCTGCAAATATTCCGCCAATAATTTCGCAAGCTAAAAGTTGCATCTACCAGCTCAAAACAAGTTGCTGATCAGCACTACCTTACAGAAGTATTTACAGAATATGAAAAGACCCTCAAACACCATCATGAGAACCGCAAGCTAGTAAAGGAAAACAAAACCTCCATAAATAAAACTTGCATGATAACAGGATACACCATACACGCCCTGTTGATGCATAAAAGTCTAGACAGATTACAAGCAGAAACAAATTTCAAAGAGGCTGAAGCCTAGCTTCTTGCAAATCTATGCATAGCCCCAAAGATTTCATGTCTCGATCTGGTTACTAGAAGACCAGTTCACACTGACGGGTAGAACACCTCCATGCATAGCCATTCTCTCAGATACATCAGCTAGTGATTTCAGATTGCAATTAATTAAGGCCCTCACAAAGTAGCAAGTCTCCTCTTTAGTGTTCCCTTCAGGCACATCCACTACAAATGACTCAATCACCAGTGTCCCCGGTCTACCATCAAGTGTCTTCGGATGAACTGTAATAACCGAAGAATAGTTCTGCAAAAAGTTGATAAAGTATAACACCAGGTTAGACATGCTAGATGCTTTAGTATAAAGACAGATATAGGAAGTAGCTTAGTTAAGAAAAGACTCCTGAAGATTTTGCAAATGTAACAAGCTTAAAATAAGCAAAGGTGAATGCAAGTTACCAAACACTACAGAACCTTGGCACTACAGCCAAACGCAACCACAGAAATTAGCTTAATGACTCCATCAATTGATTGGTAAATGTGTGTATAATCCTTTATCAGCATACTTGGTCTAAAAGCAGTAATTGTTAAAATCGCTCAAGAGTAATCATCAGAACCTAGAATAGATATCATAGAAGATAAAACATCTAATACCAATTCATTTGATATCTTAACTTTCTAACTTAACATTGATATGAACAAATTTTACGATCATGTAACAAGTTACTACAACAATAAGTCAATACCAACAACGTAACATATCCAGTGTAATCTCACAAGTGGGGCCTGGAGAGGGTAGTATGTATGTAGATTGTAGACCTTACCCCTAACATGGTGTTTAAAGATCATGTTAATGTTTATAAAACAAGTGAAAGTCCGAAGTGGTATAAACAACACTCTTTTTCCCCCTACTTTAAGAGCCACCCCTCAAACTAAACCTTCTTAATCCATATACATGCTCTTATATAGACATCAGGACACTGTTTTACTGTAGGATACTTCTAAAATGTAACTAATCTTCACCTTCATCATATATAAGGGATTATGCTTCTAGAAGAAACTCATACCTTTAGCCTGTGATCACCACCAACGATTCTGATGCCAAGGATGTGCTCCTCATCATCAAGAAGTTCCAATCTTTCAGTGCTAGTGGTGGCTGGAAGACCAGACTTGACATTCACCTCTCTAACACTACCAATTGTAAGATCACCCTTCACAGTACACCTGCTAATAAATGGCTTATACTTCTGAGGCTGATCAAATCTCCTCACTAGTGACCAAACCTACAACAAGATCAACAATCAGATGTTAGAACTCAAATGCAAAATAAACAAACAAAAAACAGCAAATACCAAATTAACAAGAAAAAAAAAAAACTAACAAAATGATCATAAAATTCAATAATATCATGCATCCCAACAATCTTCGAATCCCCCAAATATTTTAAAAGGCTATCTTAAGGTAAATTGAGGAAGGATATCTATCCACATCAAAAACTTATACTTTCCTTTTTAGTACTAATATTGTAACTGTTTCTTCAGTTGTTTTTTACAGAATAATTGCCTCAACCAAGAAAGATTTTCGATAAGCTACCATTTGACCATAGATTTCTCTTATTGGAAGTCCCAAAAATCCTATCCAGATTTTGGGAACTTGAAAAATATTTGAATATGAAATTAAGAGACTTCGAAAATCTGATCAAATTTCATAGTCACCAATAGTTAGCTAAGAATTCCAAAAAAAAAAAAACTTTTAAAGAAAACTTACCAAACAAACATTACTTTCCACAAATAAACACACACGGAACCAAAAGATTAGTATCTCAACAAATAAGGAAAAGATAGAACAGAAAGATATCATCTTATACAAACCCAATGTCCTATAACTAGTAACTAGAAATAAATAAGAGAAATCCTCAAGAACCCCCAACCCCACAAAATAAAAATATTCCCAAATCAAGAAATCAAGAGAATAATTCTAAAAAAAATATGATCTTTACAATATCAACTGGTGCTTTGATGTGTTTAACAAGAGATGAAGAACAGTGATGTTCACTAGGCTGATGACTATGGTATCTTTCAATAAACTGTGCTTCCATTTCCTTCAACAATTCTAATTCAAACACTTCAAAATTTATAACTTTTTAACCCAACTTAGAAAAGTTCTCTATAAATAAAAATAGAGATTTGAGAGATTGAGAATTGGTGGTGGTTGATTGGCTACTTGGTTATGTGATGAGTCTTGACTTTTAAGTCTATCAAAGAGAGATCTTTATGGGAGCTATCTTTTTTTTTTTTGTGTTTTCCATCGTGTTCCGTATCAATATTAGAGTTCGATTAAATTTGAATTTGCATTGAAAAGTTTTATATTGGGGTA